AACTGGTAATAACGAATGTTTTCTAAAGTCAGCGCACACACCTCCAGGACCAGCAGACTGAAACAGGCCGGAAGCATTCAGGGGAGAGGAAGCCAAGGATCTCATGGGTGTCTTTGTCTTTATCAGACACAGCATTCCTCGGGAATCCCAGAACCTCACAATCCCAGAGGTCAACAAATATTTTGAAGGCTAGTCCAGGTCCCAGAAACCTCACCAGGGTCTTCAGAATTTTCCCCCATTAAATTTTTTTTAATTTATATATAGAGTTTTGGGTGCATACAGCTTTTTATAAATTGTGAAGGAAAAGAGCCACATTGCTAACCTGACAAGCTCAGGGGAGGCCTGCGTGGCAGCCTTGCAAACTCAGAGACCTAACATAACCACCAAAGATGGTTTGATTTGAATGAAATGAAATATCTAACTACAAATAGGTTATAGTGGGTAGTCAGGTCCTAGGCCGATATCTCACCTGACAAGATCAGCTTAGATCTTTTTTTCTGAGCCCATCTGCCTTTGGGCCTCTAAGATAACGTATCTGTGAGATGTCTGGGTAAACTGTAACTTCCCTTTTTCCGGAGCCTCTGGGGCACAACCAAATGTGGTGGGAGCCAGGACAGATGCCTCAAATTCCTTTGTTGTCATGTTAATTGTTCCTGTACTCACCTAAGTACTCGTCCATCATTTCACTTTTATCCAATCCCAGGGTTTCCCACCGCTTTGCTTTCTCCTGCCTCCTACTCCATCACCAATGAATTTCATGTAACCCACCTATGTCCCTCCTTTGATTTCACTGTATAAATAGAGAAATGTAACTCGTCATTCTTCAGAGCATTACTGTTGAGGTTCTGCTTCCCGGCATATATCAACAGTTTGGCTCAAATAAACACACTAAAGTTCTTTACAGGTTTCAATGGTTTTTTTCATTAACAAAATGCATCCCTTTAATTCAAGTCTTAACATTCTCCTTTGCTTAAATCTATGTCAGCACCACTAGAAAGATATCTTCCATTTCAGCATGAATAAGAGGATAATTTTAGGTAGTCATATATATATTTACAGAGAGAAAGGGAGAGGGATAGACAGAAACATCGATGATAGAGAAACACCATCAGCTGCCCCCTGCACACACTCTACTGGGGACGTGCCCACAATGAAGGTACATGCCCTTGACTGGAATTGAACCCAGGACCCTTCAGTTTGCAGGCTGACGCTCTGTCCACGGAGCCAAACAAGTCAGGGCTGTATATACTTTTGTTAATGTTTTGAAAACAAAGAATGCCATAGTGTGGAGGGGAGGGAAGAAAGCAAAGTACAGGCACTTAATTTCATTTAAAAATGTAGTCAGTGTCACCCAGCTGGTTTGGCTCAGTGGATACAGCGAGGGCCTGCAGACTGCAGGGTCCCGGATTTGGTTCCCAGTCAAGGGCACATGCCTGGATTTCGGGCTGGATCCTCGGGGGGGGGGGGGGCATGCCAGAGGCACCCAATCAATGATTCTCTGTCATCACTGACATTTCTGTATCTCTCTCGCTTTCTTCCTTCCTCCCTGAAATCAATAAGAATATATTTTGAAAAAAATGCAGTCAGTGTCTAGGTTTCCCCAAGCACCTCATTCTTTTTTAGTTTAAGTTGGGTCTAAATAAGGTCCAATATGTTCCAATAATCTCTATTTAATTGATTTAGATTTGTGTGTTTCTTTTTAATATATATATTTATTGGTTTCAGAGAGAAATGGAGAGAATTAGAAACATTAGTGATGAGAGAATTATTGACCGGCTGCCTTCTGCACGCCCCCTATCTGAGACTGAGCATGAAACTCTGCTATGTGCTCTTGACAAGAATTGAACCTAGAGCCCTTCAGTCCGCAGTCTGATGCTCTATCCCCTGAGCCAAGCTAGCTAGGGCTGGTTTGTGTTTGTTAAGTTGATACCCTGGAAAATTCCACTTTGCATATTGTTATTTGCATAATTCCACGTTTTCCTCTAGATTATAAGCATTTAAATATGAAGTCTGCACTGGCATTCTACTAATATTAAATAAGGGAGCAAGAGATATCTGATTTGGTTAAAATCTTGATGACTATTGGTAAGAGCAAAAGACTGGAAATAAATACGATCTCTATAAATAGGAGACTGAGTGAATAACCTCTGCATATCGTGCCTGTTATCCATGCTTTATATGTCAGCTCCAAATTCAAACTTCAGTGCCTGCTCTGTTTACTTCCTATCAGCCCAGTTTACTTCCTATCAGCCTCCCTTGGTGCAACCCCCAGTTGTTAATTCATTAGACTAAACCCTCTGTTCAAAGTATGGGGCGGTTTCCCTCTCCTGAACGGACCCTGCCGAATCCATCCCCACACCGCGCAGTGCTGGCCTCCAGGCAGGGGGCCGCGAGCGCCTGCCTGGGGCGGGTCGCCGAGTGCTCCGCGGTGCACCTGCGGCTCTGCGGGCTCTGCCGCTTCTGCGGGCTCCGCGGTGCACCTGCCGCTCCGCGGGCTCTGCGGCTCCGCGGTGCACCTGCCGCTCTGCGGGCTCCGCGGTGCACCTGCCGCTCTGCGGGCTCTGCCGGGCGCCGGGCTGGCGGGGCCGGTCCTCCCCCTCCCTCCCCGGGGGCTGGCGGGGCCGGTCCTCCCTCCTCCCCGGGGATTAAATGCGGAAGTGGGCGCCGTTTCCCCACTCCTTGCGCCAGAGCCCGGCCGTTGGGAAGACGCGCCACCGCCTCGCGTCCACCACGAGCTCAGCATCCCCTCCGCTCGCCCTCCCGCTCCCCAGGCCCCGCCCCGGAAGCCCGGCCCGCCCCCGCCCAGACCCGGAAGTGAGCGCCCGCCCCGTGGCCCCAGGCTCCGTCCCGCGCCGCCGGTCCGCGTTCTCGGTGGTAGGTGCTGGCGGGGGGCGCGGGCTCCGCCCTCGGGGGCGCGGGCGCGGGGCTGCAGGGGCTGCAGGGGCTGCAGGGGCGGGACGGAGCCGGGGCCGCTGCGCGGCAGGTCCCGCCGGGACGAGCCCCGCAGCTCCGGCTTCTGGCGGGACCGGCGCGGGAAGCGAGGGCGGCCCGCCGGGTTCTGGGGCCGGAGCTGAGGTCAGGGGGCTGAGACAGGTGGCAGGTAGACGGGGGCGGGGGGCGGCGCCCGCGGACAGAGTGCGGTGCCTGTAGCGGAGCAGGGCAGGGCCTGTCACAGGGGAAGCGGCCCCCACCCCGGGGATCGGGGATCGGGGGGCCCGCTGGGTCCCCGGCTGCACGGCCGGTCCGGCCTGGCCCCAGCTGTGCGCGCCCGCCCTCCGCAGCCGGCCTCCCGCTGAGAGTGTGTCCGCGCGGCCCCGGGATGTACATGCTGGTGGAGACGCTCTCCAGCTCCCGCCTCCACCTGAAGAGGGCGCCGGGCATCCGGTCCTGGTCCCTGCTGGTCGGTAAGGGTTTCTTCCCATATTTCACCCCAAATAAAAAACCTAACTTTAAAAATAGGTGAAGATGAAACTCACGCTTTCCTTGTTTTACTGCCGACCCCCATACACAGCCGCTGTCCTGTTTGTTTTCATCCTGTCTGTGCTGTGGATGATGGGTGTCTGTTTTGCCTTGTTCACCACTTGACATCCTTTAGTTAACACGGAAGGCCCATGTTACCCTACACATACACTTTTAAAAACACGTTTTTAGTGATTTTATAGAGAAGGGAGGAAGAGAGAGCAACCTCGACTGGCTGCCTCATGCCCCCCTGCTGGGGATCAGGCCTGCAACCTCATGTGCCCCCACCGGGAATTGAACCTGTGACCCTCTGGTGCATGGGACCACACTCAGCCAACTGAGCCACATGGCCGGGCCACGTTCCCCTTTCACTTGCTCTCGCGCAGCTGCTCACAGGTGCCTGCTTTGCCCGAAGGCCCATGTTCTGTTTCTCGCCCACGTGGGAGAGGCTGCCCTGGCCTCCATCCCCGTCGCTGCCCATCAGAGGGCTCTGTACACCTGGGCAGCTACCTGGTAGCCTGGATGGCGGGTGTAAGCAGAGCTGCCTGCCTCCAGCCTTTCCTTCCCATGACTCTGCATGTGGCTCCTCCGTTTTTCTCAGCTGATGTGCTGTGACCCTTTAGTAGTCCTGTCTTCATTCCGCACTTGACACTGTTGGGGTAACGCCCACGTTGGGCTCCTCCGTCTGGGATGGAGGTGGGATGGTGGTGGTCCGGCAGCAAGGTCCCTGCTTCCTCTCCGCAGGAATCCTGTCCATTGGCCTGGCGGCTGCCTACTACAGTGCAGGTGAGAAGCCGCGCCTGCTCCCCACGACCTCCTTGCGCATGGAAAACGGGGAAAAGAAGGAAAGCCTGTCACTCCAGGCCCACCGAGGCCTGGCCTCTGGGAACACCGCCCGCCCCCTGCCTCTGGGGGCACGGGGACAGCCACACTTATGTGTGCCTCACGCCCAGCACTTCTCTTGTATCCGGGCACTTTCCTGGGTCTAAAAACGTTCCTCCAGAGGGTGCCCTCTCGTATCTGCGTAGGCTCGCTGCAGGGTGAGCCGTCCTCTCAGCCTCCCCCCCCCCTCCACAAGCCATGCTGTGATTGGCAGAGACCGGCTGCCCGTCTCCAGGAGACGCCAGGGGGAGCGCGGGCGGAGCTGGAGGGGTGTGTCCCACGTGGCCCTGAGTGACAGGCAGAGTGGCCGTCGTGGGAGAGGGACCCCTGCGGGCCCACCGCCTGTGCCTCTGCTCTCACGTGGCCGCGTCTGTTTGTCCCCAGACAGCCTGGGCTGGAAGATCTTCTACGTCACCGGCTGCCTGTTCGTGGCCGTGCAGAACCTGGAGGACTGGGAGGTGAGGCCCCGGCCGCCCGGCTCCCTGCTGAGACAGCGCCGGGCTCGGTGCCTGTCCTCACTGCTCCTGGGCCACGGCGTCCTCTGGAGCCGTTTTCCCCCTCGAAGCTCCTCGTGGCTGTTCCTAGCCAGATCCTCTCCTCCCGAGGTCGCCGAGGCGCAGTGACACGGGCCGCCTCCTCGGGGGCCACCCCGTCCTTGTCCCTCTTCACGGTCCTTTGAGCTGCCTGGCCCCGTGCTGCTCTGACCCGTTCCCTCGCTGGGTGACCTTGGCCCCTGACCTTGACCTGAGCACCTGCCTCAGGTCCCAGGCCCCTGCTCACACCTGTCCGGAGCCTCCGTCAGGCGGCAGGTGTTTGGCTGGCAGAGCAGCGTGGGCGCTGGCCTTGGGTTCTGACTGGGATGGGAAAGGCGAGGGCGGGACCGTCGGCGAGCCAGGCCCTCCCGGGATCGTGTGGGCGGCTCCTGCCGGGCGGCCAGCAGCCGGTGACCCCGTGGCCGTTTCCAGGAAGCCATCTTCGACAAGAGCGCCGGCAAGGTTGTGCTGAAGACGTTCAGCTTGTACAAGAAGCTGCTGACCCTCCTCCGAGCAGGCCACGACCAGGGTGAGGCGTCGGCACGGACGGGACGCGGGCGACCCGGGGCTGGGCGGGGGCAGCCAGGGCTGAGTGACGGCTGAGTAATCAGGGTTGTATCCCACCCATGGGGGGACGTGGGGACCCCTCAACATGGCCCGGCCACTCAGGCTTCAGCCGCTGAGATGAAGCAGAGGGACAGGGGACAGGCAGGCCTTTCGGGGCCACGTGGGCCAGATGCTCCTTCTCACCAGCCTGGCCATCGCCCGGCAGCTGCAGGACCCTGCACCGTGGCCCCCGACCTGTGGCCAGCGTGGCGTGGTCCTCTGCAGAGCGGCCCGGAAGGGACTGTGCCCACACCCAGGTGAGGGACGCTGCCCCTGACCCGCCTGCCCTGCCCTGCCCCCCAGTGGTGGTCCTGCTGAACGACATCCGGGACGTGAACGTGGAGGAGGAGAAGGTGCGCTACTTCGGGAAGGGCTACGTGGTGGTGCTGCGCTTCTCCACCGGCTTCTCCCACCCCCTCACCCAGAGCGCCATCATGGGCCACCACAGGTGAGCGGGGACGGGCGGGACTGCCAGCCCGGCGGGGCCCTCGCCCACAGCCACAGACCACCCGGCCCCTCGCCCACAGCCACAGACCACCCGGCCCCTCGCCCACAGCCACAGACCGCCCGGCCCCTCACCCGTCACCACAGACCGCCCGGCCCCTCACTCGTCACCACAGACCGCCCGGCCCCTCGCCCGTCACCACAGACCGTCCGGCCCCTCACCCGTCACCACAGACCGCCCGGCCCCTCGCCCGTCACCACAGACCGCCCGGCCCCTCGCCCGTCACCACAGACCGCCCGGCCCCTCGCCCACAGCCACAGACCGCCCGGCCCCTCGCCCGTCACCACAGACCGCCCGGCCCCTCACTCGTCACCACAGACCTCCCAGCCCCTCTCGTCACCACAGACCGCCCGGCCCCTCGCCCGTCACCACAGCACAGACCGCCCGGCCCCCTCGCCCGTCCCACAGAACGTCTCGGCCCTTCGCCGTTCCCCACCGACCGCCCGGCCCATCGCCCGTCCCCACCAGGACCCGCCCGGCCCCTCACCCACAGCCACAGACCGCCCGGCCCCTCGCCCGTCACCCACCGACCGCCGGCGCCCCTCGCCCGTCACCCACAGACCGCCCGGCCCTCCACCCGTCACCACAGGAACCGCCCGGCCTCCACCGTCACCACAGACCACCCGGCCCCTCACCCGTCACCACAGGATCCGCCCGGCCACTCGCCCTCACCACCCGACCTCCGGGCCCCTCGCCCACAGACCAGGGGACTGCCCGGCACCCACCCGTCACCACAGGCAGACCGCCCGGCCCCCGCCCGTCACCACAGACCGCCGGCTTCCCTCGCCCTGTCACCACCAGACGCCCTGCCCCACCCACAGCCACAAGCCTCCCGGTCCCTACCCACCGCCACCGGGACCGCCCGGCCCCTCGCCCGTCACCACAGACCGCCCGGCCCCTCGCCCACAGCCACAGCCTGCCCGGCCCCTCGCCCACAGCCACAGACCGCCCGGCCCCTCACCCGTCACCACAGACCGCCCGGCCCCTCGCCCACAGCCACAGACCGCCCGGCCCCTCGCCCGTCACCACAGACCGCCCGGCCCCTCGCCCACAGCCACAGACCGCCCGGCGTGGCGGGCACAGGGGCAGAGGGCTGGGGAGGCTGGGGCAGGCGTGCCACCACCACGAGGCGATGCCAGGGTCCCACAGGACAGGCAGAGCATGGGGGCCTCCAGGGGCTCCCGCAGGACCGGGGCGGGGCTGGGCCAGGTGAGGATGGGGACGGACGGATGGAAGGTGCCGGTCCGGTGGAGAGCTCTCGGGTGAGCAGTGCATGGTTTGGGGGAGCGGCTGTGATCTCTGGGTGCACCGCCCTCGTGGTAACCACCTTTCTCCGTGCTGCCGGCCCAGTGACGTGGAGGCCATCGCCAGGCTCATCACCAGCTTCCTGGACCTGCACCACCCGGAGAGCCCCGAGGAGCTGTCTCCGAGCAGCGACAGCGAGGCCGAGGGCCCCGCCGAGCAGGGCTGACCCGGCACCCGGCGCGCATCCATGGGGCCTCAGCAGGCCAGCCCTCCTCACCACCCAGCGTGTCCCTGGCAGCCCCCCGCCCTCTGCGCACAACCACACCGGGCTCCACAGACCTGCCTCCTGGAGCCCGGTGGCCCAGCCTGGTGGTGTGGGTGTGAGTGGTGTGGCTGGTCTGGGCTGACCCACCCCACAGCCCACCAGCTGGGCATGCTCCAGCCTCTGAAAGGGGAGGGGAGCGGGCTCCCCAGGGCAGGGCCTGAGGCTGGTGTTCCCACCCCCGATTGGCTGGCCACACGTCCCGGGGAACCCGCTGGACCAACCAGAATGTGTGGGGCTGTCTGGGGGCGGATCCCCTCCCCTTCCTGTCCCATCCCCTCTGCTGGGCCACGCCCACTTGGCGAGAAGAGGTTCTCCCAGCCTCCTGCCCAGGTTCAGGCTGGGACCTCTCTGAGAAGACAGACCTGACAGCTGGGCCTGTTTGTGGGGCAGGAAGTGGGCCGCACCCACAGAACTGGGCACCGAGCACCCCAGCCGGTGCAGCATGTGGGGCTGCCGCTGCCTGGGGACACGGACCGCAGTCTACGTTCTCCCCTCAGCGGGGCTGCGCCCACCTGGGCTTGGGAACGCGTTGCTGGACCTGCTAGTGGGTTCCACGTGAGCCGCTGGACTGAGTGTGCAGGACTGCCCTCCTGAGGCTGAGCAGCTCTGGGCGGGGGCAGGCAGGCAGGCCTGAGCCCCTCCCCGCCCCCGGGGACTGTGGGCCCTCGCCGGCCCTGTGAACACCCGGCGGTGAGAGGCCACGCTCCTGCCAGCACCTCTAGCTTTTCCTCCTTTTTATTTCACGAGAATTAAAGTTCTACGTGCAGATCAGTGAGCGGGTCCCTACGGGCGTTTCCTTCCTGGTGCAGCCGCCTTCTCCCCCGGTCACCTCCGGCATGGGCACTGCTGCCTGGCGTCCGGGCGCAGCAGGAGGAGGGTTGGGCCAGACAGAGCTGACGGGTGTGGGAGGCCCCTCCCCTCAGGGGCCCTGGTCGGCATTGTCGGGGCCGTCGGGGCTGGCCGGTGGGGGGCTGGCCGGTGGGGGCGGGGGGCTGGCGGCCTGCAGGTCCTGCAGCAGCGCCTGCAGCTGCTTTAAGCTGGGGTGCACGTTCTCCTGCAGCCACTCCTCCACGGCGCCCTCGGGGAACACACGGCGCAGGGCGGCCGCCAGCTCATGCGCGAGGGCGCTCCACCTGCCCAGGAGACTGACACCGGCAGGGGTGAGGGGCCCACGCTCCGAGCGGCCGTGCCTCAGTCTACCCACCCGGGCTGCCGCACTGCTGAGAGTCAATGACTGAGGACTCAGTTTAACTCCTGAACCTGGGGTTTCCCTAAGACCTACACCATCAGCAGTGCCCAGCACTCTCGCAGCGGGACGGTCCGCACAGCGCCCAGTGCCCAGAGGACTGGCTGGCAGGACCCCGTCTCCTTGGTGCCAGGGAGGACTCGGGCTCATGCCAGCTGTGGGCCCGGTGTCTGGCTCCACGGTGAGCCTGGGCCCTGCCCGGTCATGTCACCTCCCTCCTCAGGCTGGGCACACCTGGCTTCACTAACGCTCAGGGGCACCTGAGAATCCAGGCCCGGGAGCCGCTGGCCCCGAGCGCTGGCCCTGAGCGGCAGAGGCGCCCGTCCGGGAGGGCGGGGGGCTCGGCTACCTGAGCGCCTGGGGCTGGATGTGCTGGATCATGACCGGGTGGACGAGCTTCCGCCGGCGGTGGTAGTGGCTGAACCAGCCGGTCACGTACCTGGGGGAGAGCCACACGGTGGACACCGGACGGAGGTCGCTCAGTGTCTCCTGGACACTGAACAAGTCGTTTCCCCAGAAAGTTCTGGTGAAGGATGGGCAGGCCCTCACCCTGGGTGTGTGTGTGGGGGGCTCACCCTGAGTGAGGATCCCTGAGTCAGCTCCCCCTCGGCCGCCCCCGTGCCCCCGCTCACCTGTCCCTCTGCAGCACCTCGTTCACGGAGCTGCGCAGGTCCAGGCTGACGTGCGTGACGAGGGCCAGGATGTCGCTGCCAGGGAAGGAGCCGGCCCCGTCGCTGCACAGAGAATCGGGCGCTGAGAGGGTCCCCGGCGTGGGGGGAGGGGCAGTGCTGAGGCGGGGGGGGGGGGGGGGGGAGGATCACCTTGTGACATCGGCGACTTCCATGGTGGGGATCCCTAGCAGGTTCTGCACCTGCGCCTGCACGTCCTCCGAGAAGCCGCCTGGAGCCAAGCAGGTGGCAGGTCATCACCGCCCTGGGCACTGACGGCTCCGGCGGGAGACGGCTCCCCAGCCCCCCGCACCCCAAGGTCCCTGCAGCTGAGGCAGAAGCACCTTCCTCCCCAGGTTCCCCCAACTTCCGCGCCTGTCTTGGGTTTGGGCTTGGACGCCTGGGCTGGGCGGGGGGGGGGGGGGGCGCTGAGGAAGGCCTCGCCAGCCCCGCCTCCGGGGGGAGCGCCTTACCGTGCAGGAGCGACTGCAGACACACGGCCAGGGACGGGATGGCCACGGGCAGCAGCTCGCACAGCACCGCGAAGTGGTCGTACCTGAGCCCAGGAGGGGGCGCTCAGCTCGCGCGCCCGCTCCGTCCGGCTCCGAGGCGGCCTGAAAGCCGGCTGCTGCCTCCGGGTACGCCCTTGGCTCCCGGGTGTGCAGGCCCACCCGCCGCCCAGCCTGGCTCAGCGCTCTGGGTCACCACCCTGGACCCTCAGAGTTCGGCTCAAAGGCCCTGCCTCCAGCTGCCCTGGGTGCCAGGGCCACCTGGCCTCTCCTCTGACCCCAATCCTAGATGGCACCTGTGGCCAGGACCAGGGTCCACTCATAGCTCAGGTTTGCAACTGGCATGAAGTAAAGAGCCAGTGTCCGTCCGGTCCCCGCTGAGCGTCAGCCGCGTGTGGCCTCACGGAGGCTGTGGGCTGTGGACAGGCACGGGGGTCCCAGGGGGGCCAGAGCGCAGCATGCCTTGGGCAGAGTGGGGGCGGCTACAGGGTGTGAGGGGCCCTGGCTGCTCCCCCGCCATCCGCACAGCATCTGCCCGTCCCTCCTGGTCAGAGGCCCAGCGTGTCCCGGGTGGCGAGGAGGGCGGGGTGTCCTGGCCTCGGGCGCTGCCTCACCCTCCAGGACGGCCCCGAGCACCCTCACCTCTGCCAGCCGGTCAGGACGATGCCCTGCAGGGTGTCTTTCTGCCCCTGGGCCGCCACCTGCAGCCACCGCAGGTTGTTCTGGAGGTGGTACTCGACGGGGGGCAGGGCCTGGCTGGGCCCCGTGGCCCCCTTGAAGGCACTGGCGGCCCACATCCGGGGGAAGCCACTCTTCCGGTACTTTTCCATGAGGAGGACTGGGGAGACAGCGCGAGGTGTGACGGGGCCGGGGCCGGGGCCGGGGCCGAGGCTGAGGAGGCTGCGGCCACCAAGCCTGAGACACGCGGCCGACGCCGGCCACACGGGTGGGAACCACGGAGCCCACACACGGCTGGACGGCGCCCCCTCGGAGCCCACCTCCCGCCCCACGGGGACCCGGTTCACAGGCCGCCCTGTGAGGACCGGCCGCAGGACACGGGGCCGCTCCCCGGGACCCGGCCCCGGCAGAGTCTGCGGTGAAGCAGAGGCCGGTCAGGCTCTGAGGAGCCAGGAATCAGGCCCCGTGTCCCCCCCGGGGCGTCAGGTGGCGGGGTCGACCCAGCGGCTCGGTACTGACCCTTGCCCTGCACGTCCAGGTCGGCCCCGTAGTCCCAGAGCACGGGCTCCACCAGCTGCGGCACCCCGGACGCTGTGGGCGAGAGGCTGTGAGTGCCCGGCCGGCGGAACGGCCCGGCCCCGGCTGCTGGCCAAAGACGGACACCGCCATCTTTCCCAGGACACGCTCCGCACTGCTGCTCTCGGCGGAAAGGCCTCAGCCAGCGGCCAGCAGCCAGCAGCCCTGGACGGCCCGGCCCCGGAGCCGGAGCCGCCGGGCACGGCCCTCTGCACGCTGCCCAGCTCCAGGCCTGGGCCCAAGAGGCACGTGCGCTAATTGGACTTAATTGTAACAAACCCGAGATCAAACCCAGGTGGCCACTTGGGTGCTGGCGGGCCTTGGGAAGGTGGGCCCCCACGTGGCTCTGGCCAGAGCTGTGAGTGACCACACCAACCTCCCGTCTCCTCCCAGAGCCTCAGGCCCGAGCGCCGGGCTGGAGGGGCTGCTGCTCCCCCCCCAACCCCCTCCCCACCTCCCGAGGAACCTCACCCGCATCCGGGCAGGGCAGGCCGGGGAGGCTGAGTGGGCGGAGCCAGGGGGTGGGAAGGGAAAGCAGAGCTCCCTGTGGCCCAGCCTCCCACCCCCAGGGCCAGGGCCCCGGCCTCATGGCCGCCCAGGTGGGACCCAGCGCTCGCTCCTGTCCTGCCAGGCTCCAGCGGGAGGGCGTTTCCGGGTGAGAACAGTTAAACCGCGGCTCTGACTGGACTGTGGGGAAAGCGCCGCGGTGCTTGTATCAGTCCCCGAGCGGACGGGCTCAGCGGCAGCCGGCGTCTCCGCCGTGGACGCCCGCTGACCTGACAGCTGGTCCTCGGGGATGTCCCGCAGCATGTCGTCCCACACCAGCGGCGTCGTGGCCGGGTGCTGGGTCCGCACGTGGCTGGCCACGGCCTTCACGTGGGACAGACACAGCGCGGCCGTGGTGTTCTGCTCCTGCTGCAGCCACTGCCTCGAGGCCTCGCCCTCCCCGAGGTAATAGACCTGGAGGAGGGAAGGCAGGCCGTCTGCCTCCGGACCAGCCCGCCCGGGAGCGACCAGGCTGCCGACCGGGGTCGGAGCACCCAGGCAGGGGCAGGGGCACTGGCAGGGAAGGGGGCGGCAGTGCAGGGCAACCTGCTGCCTCGCCGGGACCTGAACTCCCCTCGAGGGTCCCTTCCACAGCAGCTCGAGGGGAAGAACCAGACGCCCCCACGACCAGCCCTGCTCCACCGGGCGCGTGGACTATTTTTCTATTTGAGAGCAGCTGCCCCGGGGCAGGGGATGGCCTTGAGGTGAGACGCGGGGCCTGCGGGCCTGGAGGCAGCCGGACGCAGCACCCACCTCGTCGCAGCCGATGTGCAGCCAGCGGGCTCCGGGGTGCAGCTCCAGCACCTGGTCCACCATGGCTCCCACCAGTGCCAGCGCCTCCTCCTTGTGCGGGTTCAGGGTGTTGGGGAAAAGCGCCACTTCCCGGAGGTGGGCGAGCGCCCGGTGCTTCAGCACGAACTGCGGGAGGGCGGGTGTGTGTGTGTGTGTCACACAGGGAGAGAGGCTCATGCCAGGACCCGACAGGCCGCGTCTGGGTCTAAACTTCTGTCCACAGGGGCTTCTGAGAACCTGTCTCTGCAGCGCCCACTGCGCCCCCGAACCCCGCACCTGGGCACCTTCCCGCTCACCTCCATGTGCCCGAACGTCTGCACCAAGGGGACCACCTCGAGCTCATGCGCAGCGGCCAGACGCAGGATCTCCGTGACCTCGGAGGGGCTGAGACAGGCCAGCGCGCTCACTGCCGGCCCTCCACCAGCGCCCCGGGCTCCCCCGGGGAACTGCGCCGCTAACACCCCTGCTAACACCGAGAAGCTCCACAGGCGTCCTGAGGTCTTACAGACGCTCCTGCCCTGGGATCTGGGCTGTCAGGGCCTCAAGTGACATTTGCTTTTTACCAGCTGCTCTCGCCCAAACCCTGGACGCTGGAGTCGCTGAACCAGGACTCATAGGACAGAGCAGGTCGGCAGGCGGACCCCAGGGCAAACTCCCCATAGGATTTAGTCGTGAAGTCCTGCCCACACCCCCGTTTTCTCTGCAGGTGGCGGCCGGGCAGGCAGTACCTGTAGGCGTGCGGGGCCCTCAGCAGCCTCAGGGGGCCGTCGTAGGGAAACGTGTCTTCATACTCGATGAGGAGGCCGTTGGCTCCCAGGGCACTGAACAGCGGGAAAATCTGGGGGGAGGGCGTGAGGAAGTGACCACGGCGGCACTCGGCGTCTTTAGCTACGGACACAGGCCTCTGCCCATACTTCCCCCGGACGCGTCTCCCCTGGACGGTGCACTGTGTTATGTCAGTTACACGTTCTAATGCAGTGACACGTTCAAGGCTGAGCCAGGGGGAGGCTGGGCCAGCAGGAACAGGCCGCCCTGGGCACCGGGGACTGGCAGGGCTGGGGTTGGTAGTATGCGGCTGGAAGGAAACTTAGAGGAAGTGGGGCCTGGCTGACGTGGCTCAGTGGTTGAGTGCCGACCTACAAACCAGGAGGTCCCAGTTCAATTCCCGGTCAGGGCACGTGCCTGAGTTGTGGGCTCGATCCCCAGTGGGGGGCGTGCAGGAGGCAGCCGATCCATGATTCTCTCTGGTGTTTCTCTCCTCTCCCTTCCTCTCTGACATCAATACAAATTTATTAAAAAAATAAAATGGGAGCACAGGTGTGACTGGTCCTGGCTACCTCACAGGTGTCCTTCCTCTCCCATTAGGCCATCTTTGTTTCTTTTCTTCTTCTTTTTTTTTTAAAATATATTTTATTGATTTTTCACAGAGAGGAACAGAGAGGGATAGAGAGTTAGAAACATGGATGAGAGAGAAACATCGACCAGCTGCCTCTTGCACACCCCTACTAGGGATGTGCCCGCAAGCAAGCTACATGCCCTTGACCGGAATCGAACCTGGGACCTTTCAGTCCGCAGGCTGATGTTCTATCCACTGGGCCACACTGGTTTCGGCTCACCATCTTTGTTTCAAAGGAGATGAATCCTGCCCTCAAGGTTCCTAGGACGAGGCCGTGTCTAGGACACAGAGCTGGGACTCCTTCCCGTCTGGCGCCACTCGGGGTGACACGGCACCCTGTGGGCACAGGGGAAGGCCCCGCAGACGCGGAAACAGCAGCCTGTGCCCCGGCGAGGACCGTCTGGGGCTGGTCTGACGTGGCCCCTCCTGCGGACATGACTGTCCCCGCGCCTTGCTCTCGTGTCTGAGACGTTCTGAGACAGGCTGAGGGGAGGAGGGTGTCAGCTGAGGAAACACCAGCTATGAGGCGGCACACAGCTGGTAACTGGTCATTAACTGCCAATTACAAAACCACGTGCAGCCTCACCTCCTGTCCCCCGCGTCTGCAAAGACCCTCTTTCCAAACCGGGTCCCGGTCCGGGGGCCAGGGGCCAGATCGGAACGTGTCGCTTGGGGGACACGTTCAGCCCACGGGGAAGAGGCTGGGGGGCTTCTTCACCGTTTTTCCTTTTGCTCCCCTGGCTGCCCTGTGACCTGCCAGATCCCGCAGCGGAGGTCTCAGCACACACTGCTACAGGCCACTGTCCACACCCTGAGGCCCCCCCGGGGCTCCCCTCGAGGGAAAAGGGGCTCCCACCTCCGAGAGGTACGAGACCTTGGGCGGGGCTCCTTTAAGGTCCAGGTGCACAAATCGCATCTTGAAGGGCGAGGAGTCCGACATCTCGCTGTCTCCGTTGGGAAGTCACACGACCAAGATGTCTTGTTGGGCCCGTCCTCCTGGGGGAGAGAGTCAGCGTTAGGAGCAGGGTCCCCTGCCTTCTGTCCGGGCCTGCTCTGCACAGGGAGGCAGCTCTTCCTCCAGCACGGCTCACACGTCAAGGCGGGCATCTCCTGGCGACGGAGGGGCCGCTGCCTTTCGGGGTGACCTGGCCCTGGTTCCCTGTAAGAGGCTCTGGCCTGTGGCAACAGGCCTGCCCGCAAGGAATTCTCCCGTCCTAAAGGCCCTCGAGAACAGGCAGGGGTCTGCAAACACTACTTCAGGCCCCACGATACGTCTTTGTAGAAAGTTTATCCTCTGTTTTGTTTTTCTTTAGATAACACCAAAAACATTGACATTTCTAGAGCTGGTGTCAGCCACTTGTACGAAGAATCTGCAAACATTTCCACTAGGTCAGAGAAAACTGCCCCGGATTTAAAACAGGCCATTGGCCCTAACCGGTGTGGCTCAATGGATAGAGCATTGGCCTTCGGACTGAAGGGTCCCGGGTTCAATTCTGGTCAAGGGCATGTACCCTGGTTGCGGGCACGTCCCCAGTAGGAGATGTGCAGGAGGCAGCTGATTGATGTTACTCTCCCTCTATCCCTCTCCCTTCCTCTCTGTAAAAAATAATATATATATATATATATCTATATATATCAATAAAATATATTTTAAAAATAAAATAAAATCTTACAAACCAAACCAGTTTTTCAGGGAATAGGTTGAAAAGAGGCCTTGCACATGATCTCACTCATCTAGAGGAAATGGTGAACAACATAGACTGATGAACAAGAACAGACCGAGATAAGGAGCCATGGGTCAGACTGTTGGACCTCAAAGGGAGGGTGGGGGTAAAGGGAGAGATCAACCAAAGGACTTGTGTGCACACATATGAGCCTAACCAGGGGTCAAGGACAATAGGGGTGTGGGGGCATGAGTGGGGGGGGGGATTGGAATGGGAGGTTGAGGACAATTATGTGATACCTTAATCAACAAAGAAATTAAAATAAATAAATAAATAAAAAGAAAAGAGCCTTGCGAGCTGAGAAATCTGCTTTGGTCATGTGTGCATCTCATATTCAGACAGAAATCCTGTTACTCCTGTCTCCATGGAGTAAAAAGAGCGGACACGTGAGAATTATTATTTTTTATTATTGCTGCTTTTTAGAGAGAGAGGGAGAGGGAGAGGAACATTGATGCTTTCCCGATGGGCTGCCTCCTGCACGCCCCCCGCCGGGCACTGAGCCGCAGCGGTGCCCCGAACCCGAACCTCCCGGCTCCCGGCGGAGGAGCAGGGAGCGGCGGCCCCGCGTCCCTCCGGGAGGAGCCTCAGGCACCAGGTCCTTCCAGGGCCTGGGCCGCTCGCGGTTCTCATGGGACCACAGGCCGGTCCGCAGGTTTGTCGCCGGTGCCCGCGGGCTGAGTGGCCTTCGATGCGCTCCCGCCCCGGTTTCCGAATCGCGGGGCGGAACTCTTTTCAGGTCAGCAGATCCTGGAAGGTTTCCTTCCTGCCCGGCCCCCAAGCCCCCCACAAAGCCCCCCGCGCACCCCGCACCCCACATCCCACACCCCGCACCCCGCACCCCACACCCACATCAGCAAATGACTCACCTTCCGACTTAATTCTCAGGAAGGAGCCTCCTGGTCATCTCGGCTTGTTCAGAATCGTAGGGTCCTAACAGGGCAGGTTCCCACCCCACTCCTCACCCCGAGGCCTCGGGGTGCCACTGAGCACGCTGTGCCAGCGCCCAGGGTGGACAGACCGGAGGGCGCGGGCCCTGGAGGAGGCGGGCCCCGGGGAGGAGGCGCGGGCCCCGGGGGGAGGCGCCGGGGGAGGAGGGACGCGCTGCACCCGGAGGCTCGGAGCTCCGGGGTTCCAGGGGGCGGGGAGGGACGGGAGCGGAGGATCCGGGCCCGCAGCGCTCGGCCGGCGATTGCTCGGGTCTGGCCGCCAGCCCCGGAGTGGACGGCCGAGCGCGTCGCCCGTGTCCCCGCCGCGCCTGCCTCGCGCTCCCTCACGCGCCGCTCGTCCCGGCCCCGGCGGCTCCCGCGCTCGGCCCGGCTCCGTGGCGGGCAGGCCCGATGGCGCCTCAGCGGAGGGGCGCGCCCAAGGCGCCCGAAGGCAGCGGGACGGCCGAGCGCAGGCGCCCGAGCAGGTACCGCAGCCCCGGAGGGAGGGAGGGCCAGCGCGGCGGCGGCGGCCGGGCCGTGGGCGTGGCCGGAGGGGCTGCCCGGTGGGCGTGGTCTATCATACGATGGGCGTGGTCTTTAGCGGGGCGGGGCTGTCCGTGTCTGTCCGAAAGTGGGCGTGGTCTATGCAGGCGGGCGGGGCGGGCGTGGGGCGGGGCCCGCAGAACCCCGCTCCCACCGGCACCCCAGGCACCCGGCAGCCCTGGCTCAGAGCCGTGGGTGGCTCCGGCGGGGGGTCACGGGGAAGAAGGGCTCCCCGCCGGAAACCTTCCCTGACTCCCCTACCCCGTGTGCATTCTCACCGTGTTGTACCCTCCAACACCACCCCCCCTGCAGGTGCCTCTGTATTGATTGACAGCAGCTCTGACAATGTTAATGTTAGTGTAGGGCCAGGGCCTCCGGTCCGCACGGTCTGCTGTTCAGCACCCACAGGCCCGGTGGGGACCGTGTGTGTTCTGTCCAGCACCCACAGGCGCGGTGGGGAATGTCCAGCACCCACAGGCACGGTGGGGACCGTCTGTGTTCTGTCCAGCACCCACAGGCCTGGTGGGGACCGTGTGTGTTCTGTTCAGCACCCAAAGGCGCGGTGGGGACCATGTGTGTTCTGCGCGGCACCCACAGGCCCAGTGGGGACCGTGGGTGTTCTGTCCAGCACCCACAGGCGCGGTGGGGACTGTCCAGCACCCACAGGCCCGGTGGGGACCGTGTGTGTTCCGTCCAGCACCCACAGGCCCGGTGGGGACCGTGTGTGTTCTGTCCAGCACCCAAAGGCCTGGTGGGACCATGGTGTGTTCTGTTCTCAGCATGAAGAGCGCCCGGGCGCCCCGGGAGGTCCGGAGGAGGTGGCTGCGGGCCGCCGTCCTGGGTGCCGGGGCCGCGCTGGCCGCCGCGCTCCTGCTCTGGGGCAGCCTGGCGGGCGAGGACGGCGTCACCGAGGTCCTGGCTCACCGAGGCGAGGTCCTGCCCGGCCGCTTCATTGAGGTGCCCTGCTCCGAGGACTACAACAGTCACCGGAGATTCGAAGGTAGGCGGCGCCCGGTGATGGGGAAAGAGCGAGGCAGCAGGTTCGAGGGAAATGCTGAGTTTAACCTGAGGTCTTTGCTGCAGCGGGTCGGTGGGGTCAGGCTCCCACCAGGGGGCGCTGTTGGGACGCGCATAAGCCAGGGGCTGTAACGAAGGAAGTGGGGGTTGGTTTTCATTCCTCTGAGCAGCCCGGCAGGAGCGGCCCCCTTGGCTGGCCTCTCCCTCTGACGTCCCCGGGCTCAGGAAAATCCCTTTCAGCGGCTGGGATTGCAGAACAGTTCCCTTCCCGCCCATTTAATAATCCATCATTGCAAACAGTTGGGATGGGGGCGAGGGAGGAGGACCTCGTGTTTAATGGGGATGGGTTATAGAGTTTGGGAAGATGACAGGGTCCTGGGGATAGTGGTGACAGCTGCACAGCAGGTGGATGCCCTCGATGCCATTGATCCGCCCACGTAAAAAAAAGCAGCACTTTAAAAAATATACATTTTTACTGATTTCAGAGAGGAAGAGAGGGAGAGAGAAACATCAATGAGGGAGAGAGAAACATCAATGATGAGAATCATTCATTGGCTGCCTCCTGCACCCCCCCCACTCGGAATCAAGCCTGCGACCCAGGCCTGTGCCCTGACCGGAATGGAACCTGGGACCCCTCAGTCCACAGGCTGACACTATTCACTGAGCCACACCAGCCAGGGCTAAAGCAGCACGTTTTGTGACGTGTATTTTACCACAATGAAAAAACAGTGGGCGTGTGTTTTAAAGCCCCTTCACCAGCCCTCTCCTCTCCTCTCCCAGGTGTGAGAAGCAAGGAGGGACTCATCACGCGCCCACCCCCCCGCCCCCGCCTCCCACAAAGCTCCACTGTCCGGGGAGGGCCTCCCACAGGCTCTGTCTTCAGGCCTCATTGTATTGGTGACCTCACCCGGCTCCTCTCTCTCCAGGCTGCTCCCCTATCAAGTGTGGCCGGGGCGTCAGCGATGCTGTCATCACCAGGGAGGAGGCCCGGCGGGTCCGCAGGTGGGGCGCACCCCTCCTCCCCCCCACCAGCTTCTGTCCCAGCCAGGAATCGGGCTGGGGGGGGGGGGGGAGGGGATGCCTGCTCACAGGACGACTTAGAGAATTCATGTAAAGCTCTGAGTGCTCCCACGACAGCAAGTGATCACCAGGTGCTGGTCCCCTGTCCTCCCAAACGGGGTGGGGATTAGCCCTTCGGCCACTCGCAGCGACTCAGATGGGGCGGGAAGTCTTATCAGAAGTTGGTGGGTTTTCCTGGTTGAAATTTTAAAAACGGGATCTTAAAGTGTAGACTTTCCGACGAGCTGTTCAGACACAATGTCTCTGGAAGCAGGTGGTGAGTGGGGCGTAGTCTGGCCCGTGGGCTGCGGTGGGCATTGCTGGCATCGGCCAGCGGGACGCCGAGTCAGTCCCGACGGGAGGTGCTCCCGATCCCGGTCCAGATGGCGCCGTGGGCGCTCCGCGGGGCACGGGCTTGGGGCTGGCCCCCCACAGTTTCCTGGGCGGCCTGAGGCGCTGGACGCTCTTTGTGGCCGGGAGGTCCTGTCGGGCAGCAGGCCCGCCCTGGGGCCTCGACTCCCCGACCTGGAGGTTCAGAGGCTGCCCCCCGGCCTGTGGAGACGGGACTGGGATGCCTGGGAGGTGGCTCAGCCACTCCGCAGGGCAGCCCGCCACAGCGCCCCCTTGTTCCTGAGCTGTGTTCTGTGTCGTCACAGAAGACGGAACAGCCATTCCCTCACTTGGCTTTGGAAGCCGAGTCCTGTGGTCTAACCGTGTGCTGGTCCTGGACATTAAACAGTCGGTCAGCGTGGTGTGGACCATGGAGGTGGGGGATTTGCTCAGATACATCGCAGGGGACACTGTTAACAAGTGTGGCTTAACGATCTCTCCCACAGCATAGCCGAGAAGGGGCTCTCCCTGGGCGGATCTGACGGAGGGGTGAGTTGTGTGCGGCTCCTGCTTCCGTTTTCTCTTTCCTCCTTTTTTATTTTTATTTTTTATTTTATTTTTTTAAAATATATTTTATTGATATTTCACAGAGAGGAGGAAGGGAAAGACATAGAGAGCTAGAAACATCGATGAGAGAGAAACATCGACCAGCTGCCTTTTGCACACCCCTACTGGGGATGTGCCCGCAACCAATGTACATGCCCTTGACCGGAATCGAACCTGGGACCCTTCAGTCCGCAGACTGAGGCTCTACCACTGAGCCAAACCGGCTTCGGCTCTTTCCTCCTTTTTTAAACATATGTCTTTATTTATGTCAGAGAGAGGAAGGGAGACAGAGAGACAGAAACATCAATGAGAGAGAAACATTGATCGGCTATCTCCTGCACACCCCCTATGGGGATCGAGCCCACAATCCAGGCGTGTGCCCTGACCTGGAATCGATGGGGGACCCCCTCATGCCCCGGATGTGAGTCTGAAATCTCGTTTTCTTGCGACCCCATTAGTTTGAGTGCTCGTTGGCTTGAGATCTCATGTGGTGTCCTGAACATGGATCCTCCAGGCCCGTGGAGCATGGGGAGATTCTCATCATTGATGGTTTTCTCTCCCTCTCCCTTCCTTTCTGAAACCAATAAAAAAATACATTAAAAAAAAAAAAAGTTATGACCCAGCCCTGGCCAGTGTTGCTAAGTGGTTAGGGCGTCGGCCAGTTCACCAAAGGGTCTCAGGTTCGATTCCTGGTCAAAAACACATAGCTGGTTTGCAGGTTTGATCCCCGGTCCTGGTCAAGGCATGTGCAGGAGACAGCTAATCGGTGTGTCTCTTTCACGTCCACGTTCCTCCCTCCCTCCCCTTCTCTCTCTAAGACGAATCCAGGGGGGAAACGTCCTCTGGGAGGATTAAAACAAAAAATGGCACTGGCCCAGCCCTTCGATCCGGGGCGAGAGAATGAGCATGGTCCGCACAGACGAGCTCCCCGCAGGCGGACAGGAACCGGGGCCGAAGGACAGGGAGCATTTGTGGTCTTGGTGGTTGTGTGGGGGCATCTGGACGCCAACGCTCCTGGAACTATATTTTAAACAGAAGCTGTCTGTGGGCTTTCCACGAACAAAGCTCCAGTGGGAGGGCTGGGCCTCAGGGCGGGGCCCGGTGCACCTCACCGGCTGTGGCTATGTTCAGAATCGGACCCCAGGCTAACCTGCGGGCGCAGCGAACGACCCGGCGGCACTCGCTTGGGTCTAGTTGTCCTCCGGGGTGCGCGAGGACGGTCTCAGCCACCGGTGTCGCAGGGGCCGGCGAGGCTCCCTGGCTGCCGCCCTCACGCTCCGCTCCACGTCTCCTGCAGGCGTCCATCTTGGACTTGCACTCGGGCGCGCTGTCGGTGGGGAAGCACTTTGTGAACCTGTACAGGTGAGCTCCATCTTGTACCGGCGTCTGAGCACCCCTCGGGGGGCACCAGCGAGGCTGGCAGCCGCGGCTTCGGGTCCTGGTAAACCGTGACATTAGCCGCAGGGACCGGAAGGCGTGGCCCTCCTCCGAGGGCAGCATCCTTGTTCTCAGGCGTCAGGGGCCCATGTAGCATCGGGGCCTCTCGGGAGCTGGGACCTGCTCAGGGCTCAGGCCCGGGGCCGTGGGGGAGCGGGAGGGGGAGGCCGGCTCCCGTGATCCTCCGTGGGGCCTGAGGGATTCGGCCGCTCTCGGGGCCAGGAGAAGCCCAGGCTCCCCAGCCCCGGGCGGGCCCCCTCGGGGGCCGGCAGCCTGGCCCCTCCCTGCCCCGTGTCCTGCAGGCATCGCCGTGGAAACGACCCCGCCTGCAGGACAGGACGGCAGCTCCCAGGGGCCGGGGGCTTCCCGTGGGGAGACGGACCCTCACGGTGTGAGCACCCCTCACTCCTCAGGTACTTCGGGGACAACGTGGAGAACGTCTTCTCCGAAGAGGACTTCCGGGTGTACCGGTGAGGAGGGGCCGCAGTGTGGGCGGGACGGGGAGGGGCAGGCAGGGCGCCTCCTGCCCGGCACCCTGGCCCTGGGGGTGTGTCTGTGGGATGTGGGCCCCGGCCGGGAAGCAGCAGCCAGTGCGGGCGGTCACCACGCCAGGCGGCCCACGGCGCTCCTTACAGTCCTGCACGAGTGAGCGGAGGAGAGAACATCGATGTCGGAGGGAGACATCCATCGCTGCCTCCTGCACACCACGGGCCCGACCGTGGCCTGGGCCTGTCCCCTGACCGGGGATCGAGCCCAGACCTCCTGGTTCCTGGGTCGCCGCTCTCCCACGGAGCCACGCCGCCAGGCCAGCTCCGTGCTCTCGCTGAGACCAGCGTGAGGGGCCCCTGGAAGTGTCTGTGCAGTCAGAGCCTGTCGGGTGGGAGGCACGTGTGGCAGGCTCGCCCGTGGCTGGAAATGTCAGAGCCATGAGCGCGCTCTGGGCTCGAGCCGTCCCCCTGGGATGTCATGTTAGGGCCTGACATGGGGCTGCAGGCAGCGGCCTGGACCCCAGCCCCGGACATGCAGGGAGGGCCGTGTCTCCGGCAGCCCAGCCCCTGGCGTGCACGGCTCACCCTCAGTCCCGGCCTCCACGCTGCTCAGGAACCTGTGGGCGTGGCCAGGGCCGCTCACCTGCCGTCGCCCGTCTGTGCCCTGGCACTGCCCAGCCGGCCGGTGCCGTGTCGCCCTCCGAGGGGCCGGTCCTCAGGGCCCTTGTCCCCCACACGATGCCCTGTGACACGCGTGTGGGGTGTCGTGTGTGTGCCGATCTTCCGGTGGGCAGGGGGCACTGGGGGAACCCTCCCTCCGGGGCACGGCCCCGCTGACCGTGTCCTCCCACAGGGACGTGCGGCAGAAGGTCCAGCTCGCCATCGCCCGGGCCTTCGGCATCAGCGCGTCCTCGCTGTACCTGACCAAGCCCACCTTCTTCTCCCGCATCAACAGCACGGCGGCCCGCACCGCCCACGACGAGTACTGGCACGCACACGTGGACAAGGTGCGCCGTGCGGTCGGAAGAGGGGGGGCGGGGCTCGCACCACCTGTCCCGCCGCCCAGCTCCGCCTGCCAGGCGCCCAGCATGGCACTGTGGACGCGTGTCACCGTGTTCTTGTTTGTGTGTGTGTTTATGTTCTTTTTTATCGGTTTCGGAGAAGAGGGAGAGGGAGAGAGAAACATCCATGACGAGAGAGAATCATGGATCAGCTGCCTCCTGCACGCCCCTCACTGGGGATGGAGCCTGCAACCCGGGCCTGTGCCCTGACCGGGAATCGAACTGTGACCTCCTGGCTTATAGGTCGATGCTCAGCCCCTGAGCCACGCCAGCTGGGCCTCCATGGTCTTTAAAAGCTGGCCTGCCCCTCCCCCGGGAAAACGCAGGAGCTGTTGTTGCAGCCCTCGCCCCGAGGCAGGCGTTGGCTGCGTGTGGGTCCCGCACCTGCTGCTCCCCAGAAACACGGGCCCAGGCAGGGCCAGACCTGGGTGCGAGGACGGCGCCCCAGGCAGAGGCGGTGGGAGGCGGCGGGAGTGCGGGTGCCTGGCGCCCGGGGGAGGAGCAGCTGCAGGCGGCTCAGCGGTGCTGCGCCCTCGCCTGCAGGTGACCTACGGCTCCTTCGACTACACCTCGCTGCTGTACCTCTCCGACTACCTGGAGGACTTCGGCGGGGGCCGCTTCGTGTTCATGGAGGAGGGAGCCAACCGGACGGTGGAGCCCAGAGCAGGTGTGTGCAGGCGGCCCGGGGTGGGGGGTTTCGGGGGCGGGAGCTGTGTTTATGGAGCGCCTGCTGTGTGCCTGCTGGGCTGAGACCCCGGGGGACCCATCTGTCAGAGGGTGAGGCACCCTGTCCTCGGCTCTGCTGTCCCGGCCCCCGCACCCTGCACCTGCCCTGTGCCTCGCCGCCGGGGTCCTGGCCGGTTTGGCGGGATGCAGGGTGCAGGGCCACACGTGGCCGGGCCACGTCTCTCTCTCCTCCCCAGGCCGCGTGTCCTTCTTCACCTCGGGGTCCGAGAACCTGCACCGAGTGGAGAGGGTGCGCTGGGGCACCCGCTACGCCGTCACCATCGCCTTCACCTGCAACCCCGACCACAGCATCGCCGACCCGGCCTTCACGTAGCCACCTCAGCGGCCCTCCCCCCTCCTCCCCCTCCCTCCCCCATTCCCGGGAACAGGTGCCTTGCATCCTCTTCATGTGACTGGCTAACGTCTCGGTGGTTTCCTGCGAGCAGGTGAAGGGGCCAGCTTCTCCCGGGCCGGCGTCTGCTCCCTCAGGGCTGGGATGATGCCCTGTGGGGCCAGGGCTTCCTCGGGAGGGGAGCAGGGCGGGGGCAGGCTGGGCCCAGGACCTGAGACACCAGCCGGGCAGTCCCGTGAGGACTCCTCCCCCACAACCAGCCCATGGCCCCGGGCGGGGGTCCACGGCGGGCAGGCCTGGGGGCAGCAGGCACACTCCCGGGACCGAGTGGGCAGCCAGGGACAGCTGAGGAGCTGCAACGGAGAGCAGCTGGAGGCCGAGCTGGGAAACTGACCCTCCGACCCCAGGCCGGGGGCAGGGGCAGGCACAGGCCACCTTCCTGGTCCAACCCCCGCTCAGGGCTCCCAGACCGACCCTGAGCCTCTCACTGCGACCTTGAGTTTACAGAAAAGAAGGTGTGGGGCCTACCCCTCTGTGGCCCCCACTTTCCCACAGGAAGGGGCCTGCACAGCAGGGTGGGCTCCGGGACCGTGGCTTCATCCCCAGGAAAAAGTGGGCCCCCTGTTCCCACCTGCATTCCTCACCCCATCCCGAACACTCAACACTGCCCCCCCGCCCACCCCCCACAGCCGAGACCCCATTACCTGGGGGGCTGCGGGGGTCGGTCAGGACTTGTGGGGTGGGGACATGGCCGTGAGGTGAGGATAGAGAGTTGGGAGGCCCAGGGCAGAAACCAAGATGCCCCCACCCCCACCCCCAGGCCCGGTCCCAATGGCCCAGGAGCCTCCTGGCACAGGGCCACGCCTGGCACCTCCGTGTTCCACGCCGACACATAGTTCTGGGGTGAGACACCGGCTCTGGACTTTCAATCACACGCGGGTGCCTGCGCCACGGGGCACAGGGCCACCTGCCCACTGAGCTGGGTGCTCCCAGCTTGACCCCGTGCGGCTGGGCCCTCGCGACCTGGGGAGGCGGTTCAGAGCTGCTGGCTGGGGCTGGCCGCAGGGCGCCCTGCGCAGCGTCATCCGTCTGGAATTCAGTGGAAACGGCTGCCCTGGGCACAGCCCTGGGTCCCTGACTCCAGGGGGGATGGTTTGTGGGTGTAGGGGCCCCGGCTAGACTGGCCACCTGTATCCCTCCCACCTTCTGCGGGCCTGAGCGTCCAGGCAGAGAGGACGCAGCGCCCTGCACCGAGCCGGGTCAGAACCGGGCGAGGAGGCCAGTCTCTGCACACCAGCTGGGCGCCTGGGCAGCCCAGCTCCGCCCGTGTCACTGTCCCTGCCCTGCTGTGCCGCCACCTGTGCCCGCTGCGGCCTCCCCCCAGGAGCCCCGGGAGGTGGTCAGCCGGAGCAGAGCCCCTGGCAGTGAACAGCATGTCCCCGGTTGTAGGTGAACTCCCAGGTGCAGCCGGAGAGGGGGGAACGTGGAGTGTCTGTGGGTGAGTGGCTGACGGGGGCAGGGTGCGGGGCCCAGCCTCCGGGCTTGGGTGTCTGCTCCAAGCAGCAACTGGGGCTCCCCTGCCCCCCGCTAGGCCCCTGGAGGTGGGGGTGGGACCAGGCGCTGGGCCGTGGCCGATCCACACACACGCGCCCCCTCCCGCCTGGCCGTGACCAGCTGCCAGACCCAGACTCCGCCTGGGGCAGGAATGTGCCTGCACCTGGTAAACCCATCACTGCCACCAGCCACCAGACTGGCCCTGGCGCCTGCTGCTGCCACTGCGGAGCCAGCCCTCCGGCCGGGCTGGGACTTCCTGCTTCTGGCTGGGCTCTTCCCCACTTCTCCCCTCTCCCCTCTCCCCTCTCCCCTCTCCCCTCTCCCTTCTCCCTTCTCCCGGGTGAGGGGAGGGCTGAGGACGGGGACATGGTGGGTGGGGGTAGGCTCTAGGCCTGGCACCCGGCCCCTCTCCTGATGCCGCTGTCACCCAGTCCCAGCCAGTCCCTTCTCTGCCCCCCCCCCCCACGAAGCCGTCCCCGCTAGCCCGCCTCATGGGAGCCGAGGACCAGAGAGCACCCATTGAGTGGTCAGCGTCTCCGAGGGCCCCACTGCCTCGTGTCCACCTGGAGGTCCGTCCGCCTGCTGTTGACCAATATCCTCAGTGTGCCCCACGGCCAGCGCTCCGGGCGGCGCCTGTAACTCAGCACAGCCCTCCCGCCTGGTGGCCACGTCGTAATCCACGGAGCAGGTCACGGGCCTGACTCCTGAACCGACGCTGAACCAGCCCCCTCAGGCCTGTGGCCACCGGGCTGCAGGGCAGACTCCCAGCAGAGGGGGCGCTGGCCCCACGTCAGACCCCGACCTGCCTTCGGCTCGCAATGCCCACACCGTGCCCGGGGTCCGTCCTGTCCCTCCCAGCGCCTTGCTCTGCGTTGGAATTTTAGGGGACTTGGCTAATCCTTGAGGTCTGGGTCCTGGGCCTCGCGTCCCCTCCCCCGGCCACTGTGCTGGCACCGCCCGGGCCAGGCCCGCCGCCCAGCCTTGCAGACCTGACGGCTGCTGCCAGGGGCCATCACTAACCGCGTGCACAGGGAACAAATCTCTTTATTCTAAAAGCGCTCGTCCCCGTGGGAGGCCGGGGCCGGCACAGCAGGGGGCGGGGGCGGGGGCTGCGGGCGGGGGAGGGGGCTGCGGGTGGGGGAGGGCGCTGCGAGGGGCGATGGCCGCAGCCGGCCCCAGCGGCCTCCTGGGGGCGGTGGGGGGCCGGGGGCGCCGGCGGAGGTCGCGGTAGTTCCTGGTGAGCAGCGTGTAGAGGACGGGGTTGAGGCAGCTGTTGCCGTAGGTGAGGCAGGTGGTCAGGTAGTTGACAAGGCGGGCGGCGCGGGCCGGGAACAGCGGGCCTTCGCGGTACTGCGCCAGCAGCTGCCAGGCCCAGAAGGGCAGGAAGCAGGCCCAGAAGAGCAGCACGATGGCCAGCACCAGGCGCAGCACGCGGGGGGCGGGCGGCCGCCGCGCCCGCGGTGGGCAGGCCTGCTGTGCCCGCCGGTAGGCCCGGGCCAGGCGCGCGTACAGCAGCGCGATGGCCAGGCCGGGGCCCGCCATGCTGGTGCCGAAGAGCAGCGTCAGGTAGGCGCGGTGCGCGCGCGGGCCCCAGGCGGGCAGGCAGACGGCCCGGCCGCCCCGGCGCGCCAGCCGCACGGCCAGGCCCATGGGCAGCGCCAGCAGCAGGGCCAGCAGCCACGCGCCCAGCGCCAGGGCCGCGCGGTGGCGCCGGGAACGCCGGGCCGCGTCCAGCGGCCTCAGCACGGCGGCGCAGCGCTCGGCGCTCAGCAGCACCAGCGTGAAGCTGCTGGCGTGCATGGTCAGCAGGTCCAGGCTGGGCAGCGCGCGGCAGCCCGCGTCCCCGAAGTGCCACTGCCGGGCGCCGTAGGTGGCCACCACGAAGGGCACGCTGAGCAGGTAGAGCAGGTCGGCCAGCGCCAGGCTAGCCACGTAGGCGCGCAGGGCGGCCGCGGCGCGCGGGAAGCGTCCCAGGACCACGAGGATGTACAGGTTGCCCACCACGCCCACCGCGCCCATGGCCAGGAGCACTGCCCCGAGGGCGCCCGCAGCCACCTGGTCCTCCAGGGAGCCGGGCGCCGCGGGGCCAGCCCCGGAGCCGTTCAGGGTGGCGTTGAGGCTGCCGGGTGGCTGGGCCGTGGGACCGCCCCGCGCGGCCAGGACAGGGAACCCGCTCGTGGGCTCAGGGCTCAGGGCCATCCCCGCAGAGAGGTCATCCGGGGGCAACCAGCTGCCCTGCAGGAAAAGGAGCCCGCTAAAGGTGCAGACCAGCCCGGCCGGCGGGGCCCACAGTGGACCAGACACGGCAGGCACAGACCCGGGTTGCGGGCTGGATCCCCAGTGTGGGCATGCAGTGCAGCGGATCAGTGATTCTCTCTATCTTTGATGTTTCTCCCTCCCTCTCCCTTCCCCTCTGACATCAATAAAAACATACTCTGCTGCCCTGCGGATGCTGGGCCTGCGGCACCATGTGGTGCGGCCCTGTGCCACCAGGCGCAAGGAAGTGGCCTTTCCCGGCTCAGTGCTCACAGCAGGCACGAGAATGGCTTGTAGCCTGATGTCGGAGGATTATCTTCATAAGAAAACAGGCTTGACTGTGGGAACACGGAACGGAGGGAGGCCCTTGGACGGCCCACATCCACACGGGGTAACGCCGGCCCAGGCTTTCCCCTCTGATGACCAGGAACCCCCGGGCGTCCCACGGGCAGCACCTGGGCCCCCGTGCGGGGACTTGGGCCTGCGGTGCAGGAAGCTGCCCAGGACCCAGCGCAGCCGGCAGGGGACCCCTCGGACCTGCCGAGTCCGGGAGCCTCCCCACAGGGCCACTGCACCCGGGAGGCGCCTTGCGTCTCCAGCCGCTGCTGGGGACCGGGCTTCGGAGCCCCAGGAGCGGCGGGAAGCCTTACTGAGCCCCCATACCCCACCCCCCACCCCACACGGGTTGCCCCACACGCTCACCTGTCAGCTCCTGCAGCCACGCAGGAGTTGTGGGGGCCCTGGACTGACTGGGGGTGTCCGGCTGCGGTCCCGCCTAGACAGCGGAGCTGGTGCCCCTCCTGATCGCCACGGGCCCCGCCAGCCAGGGCTGGGACTGCACCTCCGCCTGCGCCAGCGCCGGATGTGAATGGATACTAATACCAGGCAGGGGTGCCAGGAGAGGCGGGGAGGGGCGCCTGGGAAGAGAGCGCAGGAGCGAAGGGGGCGCTGGAGAGGCGGGAAGGGGCAGGAGGAGGTGGGGGCACTGGGCAGCAGGGCGCCGCCCAGCGAGGGTCTGAGCCGCTCTGGAGGGTGGGACCCAGCAGCTGGAGGGGTGTAGTCACCTCCAGACCCGCTCCCCCTCCCCCGGGTGTCTCTGCACCCCACCCCAGCACCCCTGGACCTGGAGAGGGTTGAGACCCAGGCTGGGCCTCTGCCTGGTGGCCTTAATAACATTTAATGTTGTGCAACCATCACCACGATCCATTTCCACAATCTTCTGATCCAAAAGGAAATTCTGTCCCCTTTACTCACCAGCTCCCTGGCCTGCCCCGCCCCTGGGGACCTGACCCTCTCGGACCTGTGTGGTGGGTGTGGTGGATTCTGCAGGATCTGAACCTCCCTGCCCGCTCCCTCACTTGGCACTGCCGTTCGGTGGAGCACCTTTCCCACAGCACCCTGGGGACCAGACCCAGAGCTGCCTCTCCCGGCGCCTGTGCAGCCGGGTCGCTGGCGCCCAAGCCTGTCTCATGACAGTGTGAGCATCCTTTCCACATGGCCAGCCTGTGGGTTTCAGTGTCATGTCAGGAGCACTTCCATGACTGCTCAGCGCAGCGTTCTGTGAGGCTGTGTTTGTTGTTTACACACGACGTGGTAACCACCGGAAACAGCTCCCACCTGGAACCAAAGAGCGGACCTCCCCACCGCCCACCGCCCAGGGGATTTAACCCAGACCGAGGCCACAGGCCAATCAGCTGGGGTTACTGAGGATGACTCAAAGGCTTTGATGCAAAACGCTTGTTTTATTTAACAAAAACAACGTACAAAGAAACAGGAACCAAATGGTTAAACTGCATAAAACAACAATGACCCAACCCCGTCACCTCCCACACAGCTCTCCCGTGGCCAGGGCAGGGGTCTCGTCCCCGAGCCACAAGAGCACCTGCCAACAGCCACATTCTAACTGCAGGAGCATCTGTGGGACAGCTACCCTCCCCAGGGGGACATTGGTGCTGCTTCCCCGTCAGTCCCTGGGCCCCGCCCCCGGCCCCCCCGCCAACAGCTCCCCTGGCTGGGGAGGAGGGGCAGCCACCTGTCCTCCCCAGCCGTTGGCGGCCTGGGGCAGCCTGGTGGTCACCTGGGCCTCGGGCTGAGGCACTGGACATAGGGGTGCTCCCCCAGGGCCCAGGCTCTCCCCGGCCCCCCAGCTGCCTGTGCCAGCGACACCAGGACCCTGCCCTTGGGGCGAGGCCTCTGGCCCAGGGTCCCCGCCGCCCTCCTCGGCCTCCGTGTTGCCCCAGGGGGCGTAGGAGCGGACGCTGAACCCCCTCAGGAGCAGGGCCGTGCCCTCGGGGACAAGCTGGGCCCCGTAGCCGGCCGGGAGCTCTCCAGGAGGCTGAGCCGCCACGGGCTCGGGTCCTGGCCCGGGTACGCGCGATGGAGCTGCAGCACATACAGGCCGTCCGGCTCCAGCAGCACGCCCCAGCCCGGGCCCGGGGCCCTCCGGATCCACCGTGGCGACACGTGTGGGAGGAGGGTGCCGGCAGGGCCGCCCGCCATGGCCGTGGCCTGCAGGCTCAGCAGCCAGCTCTGCCTGGGCACGGTCCACCTCCCGGGTGGCCACCACCTCCAACAGCCTGGGCTCAGCTGGGGGCAGGACTCTTCGGGAAAACCCTGCGGTAAGACACAGGGGCTCATCCAATGGGAGCAGGTAGGAACCCCCCGAACCGCCAGGCGAGACCCTGGGTCCAGTCAGCATTCTGGGGACCCAGGCCCAGGGGTGCCCGTGTTGCGGGGTCTGCTCGGTGGGCGTCAGGCCCAGCTCTTCAGACTCATCAGGGTCGGACCCCAGGGTGACCGAGCCCCCGTCCCCAAGCCCTTCCAGTTCGGGCTGACCTTCGCCCTGCCACCCGCTGGGCCTATCCCCAGGGACAGCCCCTCCTCTGGCTCCGCCCAGCGGTGCTGCACCGGCTCAGGGTCCCAGTCCTCCTCTTCCCAGTCTCCCGACCTCAAGGACTCCTTGAAGCTCAGGAAGAGGAGCTTAAAACAAGGGAAGCAGACCCTTAGCTGGTTCCCATGTTGGAGCTGATACAACCAGAACGCCTTCAGTTGGGACACACCCTCCCTGCCAGGCCGCTCGCTGCCCGGGCTGCACATGGCGGCACTGCCTGCTCCTGGGGGTGGGCAGCAAGGACAGCACTTTCGGGGACTGCAGGGGGCAGGGAGGAGAGCCAGGGGTGCAGGGATTTGGGGTGGGAGGGACGAATTGGGTCCCAAATCCACAGGGACCTGCAGAAGTGGGGAAGAATGAACTTCTGGAAATTTCTTTAGCTGATGCAATTGCTCTGGTCTCTGGAGAGCTGTAAGGAAGAAGCCCAGGAGGTCAGGCGCCCCCTACTGGCAGGCGGGGGGCGGGAGGGACCCCAGGGGGTGGGGGAGGGGTCTCTGCTCAGTTCAGCCCCTCAGGCCTGAGTCACGTGGGAGCGTGGTCCCTCCCCCACCCACCCAGTACCCCCAACACCCAACCAGCCTCACCTGTCGGAGCCAAATGAAACCTAAGGGAACATGATGGCACCGGCCAGAACCGGACGGCACCAGATGGACCCAGACAGGACCTAATGGAACCAGATAGAACCTTAGGAATCAAGATGGAAGCGGACAGAACCTTACAGAATCCAGCCCCTGAGCTATCAGATGCCCCAGGCCACCCTGGACAGTTTGGGCCCCTTAACTCCCCGCCCCTCTCCCCACCATGTTCCCGGGACCCTCTCAACCGCCTCCCTCCGCCGCTGCAGGGCATCCCAGGGAAAGGAGGGACACCCGCCGCCTGGGAATATAAAGGCTTGTTTCCCATGATGCCCTAGGCTGATCTGCATACGCCTGTGAGGCTCCGCCCACCACACCCTGAAACTGCTGCGTCACCCCCTCCCGCGCTGGTCCCACGTGCACGCTGGTCCCGGCGCCAGGCGCCATCTTGGTACTCGTCCCTCTGGGTCTGACGGCTCCAGGCGTCTTTAGCCCGCGGGTCCGACATGGCGCCATCCCTCTGCGGCCTTCGCCCGGAGCGGCCCCTGGACCCCCTGACCCTCAGGGCCTCATCCTTCGGCTTAAAGTGGGTCCCTTCCCCGCCCCAATGGCAGACTCCATGCATTTCAGAGATGGGCCGGTTATTTCCACTTTACATACTTTCCCCACTTTGTGGGTCTCCTCTCCGCTTTAAAAGACTAATTTAAAAGGACTTTTTAAAAGAAAAGAGTTACTGTTAGAGCAGTTTTGGGTTCACAGCAAAACGGAGCAGAAGGTACAGGGGCTCCCGCAAAGGGCCTGTGTGCGCGCGGGAGGAGCCTGGGGGCGCCTGAGGGGCGCCTCCGCACTCGGCGGCGTGGGCTCCCTCTTGTCTGTAAACGGGCGTCATGGTTTCTCAGAGGAAGTTGTTCCTGTGGGACTGTAGCTTCCGTGTTTCCCTGGGAGCCTGAGTTCACGACCGTCCCCGGAGGCCACCTTGAGCCGCCATGTTGGACCACCTTGAACCGCCATCTTGGACCGCCATCAGGACTCTCCCCGGGAGGCCACCTTGAGCCGCCATCTTGGACCTCCGTCAGGACTCTCCTTGAGCCGCCATCTTGGACCGCCATCAGGACTCTCTCAGGGAGCCCATCTCGAACCACCATCAGGACTCTCTCAGGGAGGCCACCTTGAGCCGCCATCTTGAGCCGGAAGCACCTCCCTTCCACTTCCGGTAAGGCCACAGTCTTGCCCGATTAGGGCTCACCCAATGACCTCCTAAAGCCCTCCTCCTGATGCCATCACGCGGCTTAGGGTTTCCACACGGGAGTTCTGGGGGACACGGTGGGGTGTCCTGCTTATGCAAAAGGCCATGGCGTGGGCGGGCGCCGCACTCATCCGCGACCTGCGCCTGGGCCAGAGGCTTCATGCGGCGATCGCCAAGTGAACCAGCAAGGCAGCGGTTCCTTCCCCACTCCGCCGAGGAGTCCACCCGCCGCGGGCGTCTCCCCTGGGCGCGCCCAGGCGGGAGCAGCCTGCCTCCGGGCCGGTCGGCCAGCGCCGAGGCGCACCGTGTGCCAGCAGCGCCCCCTGGTGGTCGTTCGGGCGGCATGGATCCTGGTTCCAGGCACTGCCGGGCCCCAGTGACCCGGGGCCAGCACCGCTGGCTGGCCGCTCCCGCTCCCAACGCCGCCTCCTGAGCTGGGAAGTGGGGATGTGGATGCCGGGATCACGGGTCCTTCCCCCACAGGGATCGGCCAGTCTGTGTCCGTGTGGGTGTTCGAACACCCCCTCCCCTGGGAGCCCCCCACCTGGTCCCTCTATGACCAGCCAGGCCCTGGAGCCGGGCCGTGAGTGTGAGCAGGGGCGAGGCTGTGCGAGGCTGTGGTGCGTGTTCACTGGGATCTGCGCACGTTTGCACGGTGCTGACTGTGGGTCCGAGTGAGCACCTGCGTGAGGTGCCTGGGTTTCCGGGGCGCAGGGCTGTGTCCGGCTGGGACAGAGGCGAGGTCCGGACCACCATGCCGTCACAGGGACCTGGACTTTCCGCTTACCTCTCTCTGCGACGGATTCTCCCGGGAAACCGCGCGGCCCGGCCCACAGCACTGCCTGGGCTCTGCTTGGGGTCCCCGGGGGGACGGCCATGCCTGTTTGGGGCTCGCCTGCCCGTGCCAGGCCCCGAGGACAGGCCGGGCTCACACAGGTGCGCTCACCTCCAGGCGGACAAGGCCGGCGAGGAGAGGCCTGGCTTGTCCCTGAGGGTCTCGGGCCTGGAGCAGCCAAGTTCCCACCGGGCTGACCCGGCCCCAGTCGCTGGGTACGGCCACTCTGCTGGGCTCCCGTCCGAGGAAAGTCCCCTGAGAACTGGAGAACCGGGGAGGGGGGGGTGTTGTTATTTTGTCCAAGGCCAGGGCGCGTCCCGGCCAACGGCTGCTCTGGGCTGCGGGAGGGCCTGATGCTGAGGGAGGCCCTGCATGGGGGGCGGCAGCCTGTACACACCAGACACGATGCTCATGTCACACTGAGAGGGTTGACACCGGGGTCACCTGGCACGGCTTAAAACACCAGCTCCTTCGCATCCAAGCTTTTCAAAGACAACAAGCAACGTGGGAAAGTGACACGCCGGCCGGGGTCGGGCGTGGGCCCTGGAGGTCAGGCGCCTGTGGCAGATGCCCCGGCGCGGCCCCCGGGAACAGCCAAACATTCTCCGTAGAAAGTGGGGGCTCCAGACGCCGAGCTCTGGGGACCCTGGGCGCTCACATCCTCAGCCCGGGCCTCGCCGGCCTCCACGCCGACTCCAGCGGTCTCTCAGTGACAGACGTGACTAAAGCTTAAAAGTCACCTTTATGTCCATGGCTCCGGGACAGGACTGCGGTTCTTAGAAGACGTCGGCCTGATTCTCACAGCTTTACACCTAGAAAACCTCTCAGAGCGAAGCTATTAAACCAACTCGTGCAAAAAACAAAAAATTAAATAAAAATAAATAAGTAAACCAACACGTGCAGCCTACAGTCCACACTGTGCCCGTGTTTCCCACCTGTCAGGACGGCCCGTCAGGAGGAGGTCACGAGATCCCCTGCCGTTTCCCACGCTAACGTGGAGCCAGGGCCTGGGCTCAGGCTTCCCTCTCGCCCGGCAGCCAGCTCCGGGCCAGAGTGTGCGGAGCGGCCCCTTCGGCCACCGGGCGGCTGGTCCTGGCCGTCACGGCCACGTCTTGGGCCAGAACTGTCCCCCGCTCACGGGGAGCAGGCGGTGCTAGCGCCTGGCACTTACGTGGAAACGCGCCTCCACGACAGTCACCCATCTCGCCCACAGAGCCCTTCCTCGGCGGAGGGAGGGCTGTGCCCCACGAAGCTGCACCGAGACTAAGCGGCCGGGACACGGCCACGTGGCTGCTCGACGCCAACCCCGCCAGGCTCCCTGGGGACGCGCTGCAGGCGGACCCCCGGCTGGCTGTCCAGAGCTCTCACACCTCACGGGGACCCACGTGGACAGAGCCATGGAGCGCCACGGGGCAGAGCATGGAGGCAGGCCTGGCCTCGGGGACCAGGTAGTGCAGGCACCGGAGGGGAACCTGGTGCAGCCAATGCCGAGAGTGACCCACAAACTGGCCCCAGGCCTCCCCAGCACAGCCCCCACTGGCCAGGGGGGCTGGTAGTGAGCAAGGCTCAGGATTGCCTGCTGTTGGGTGAAAACACTGGAGTGGGTGGGAATCTTCCTTTCCTGCCTGGCTCCTCCTCAGCCCCATCTCCCCCCAGTCCCGTCTCCCCCATCTCACCCCCCGCCCCTGTCTCCCCATCTCCCCCCTCGGCTCCATCTTCCCACCCAGCCCTGTCTCCCCATCTCCCCCATCTCCCCCGTCAACCCCATCTCCCCTCCCCCCAGCCCTCTCTCCCCGCAGCCCTGGCCAATGTTTGTCAAGTAACACAGTCCTGCAATAGGGGGTGTTTGCTGTCAAAGCTGGGGGGGAGCCAGGCCCCTGCAGGTGAGGATACCATGGAAGTGGCTGTGAACCCCACACTCAGATCCACACACCCCATGCCTGGTGGGGCTGGGAGAGGCCGCATTGGCTCAGACCCACTACCTCAGCGGACCCACATGCCCACTGTCCCTGCGCCTGCTTCCTGTCTGCCCCCGCATGCCCAGCTGAGCCCATCACGCAGGCCCCCTGAGCTCAGAGGACCAGACGGGGGGTCTTGCTGTCTGGGGACCAGAGAGAGGCCGGGCCCAGGGAGGGGGTGGGAAGTGGGGTAGAGCAGGGTGGTCAGGAAGGTTGAAGGTGAGACGCCCCATTTGTTTCAAGGGCAGACACGACCTCCTATCCCTGTGGGGGGTCAAGACCACAGCCCAGAGAGGGGGTTCACCAGGAACCAAGAGGTCACGGATTCAATTCCTGGTCAGGGCACTTGCCCAAGTTGCAGGCTCAATCCTCAGTAGGAGGCATGAGGAGGCAGCTGATCAATGATGTTTCTCTTTCATTGATGGTTCTTTCTCTCTATCCCTCTCCCTCTTTCTCTAAAAATCAATAAAACGTATGTTTCCAACCCAGCCTCGAGTGTGTGTGAGAGCAGCACCCCTCACTGACCCTGACGGGACCCCAGAACTCGCTTCAGCCATCAGAGGACAGGAGGGGTGCAGCAGTTGATGGGGTGCAGGACCGTCAGGCACAGGCCTGCCGCCAGTGGAGGGGGCTGCGGAGGGTGAAGACAGGAGCCAGAGGAGGTTGCAGCGGTAATGGAAGAGTAACCGTCGCGAAGTCCTGCGATATCGTGGACAAGCTGCTGAGTGAGTGTTTGGTGAACCAGGAAGTCGGCCGTAAGGGAAATCTTAGAAATCCCGGCACCTCGGGGAAAATGAAACTGCTCCGGTCCTGTGGCTCCGGACAAACAGTGCGACGCCCGGAGAGCAGGCGCAGGACAGGAGGCTCGCCGGCCGGGATGACGGCCGCCGCCCACAGGCCCGGAGAGGCACCTGTGTGTGCGTGTGCGTGTGCGTGTGCACGTGCGTGTGCGTGTGCACAGGAAGTCCCTGCTCAGTTCCAGGAGAGCGAGACAGGAGCCCAGGGGCACGGCTGGCGCACTGTCTCAGCCCCTGGTTTGTGCGGCTGCAGAGCGAGCTGTCCTCTTCAGGTGAACTGCTTTACCACGTCCTCCACCCACCCTCAGACCGACCTCCTGCCTGGACAGCCCAGGGACCTGCCCGAGCAGAGTGGA